AAATTTGTATTATTTTCGATAGAAATGTGTAATTATCAATTTATCAAAAGACAAATAAAACTTTTTGAGCAATAATTAGTAGATTTGTTTTAATTAAACTGTAAATCCCCATTTTACAGATCAAGGAAGTCTTAATGATTTAACTAAATTTCATAGTGAGTCTTATAGCAAAACAGAATTATTATATAAATTATATAAATCCAAATGTTAAGTCAGAAATTAATATTTAAGCATTCCAAAGAAAGAATCGAGTAATTTATACTCAACTATATAACTACGAAAGAAGTACGTGGAGATGAGTTAGCAGTAGAAAAATAGATTTATAATAGGTAGATAAGACAGAGAATTAAATATTACTTCATGCAGTCTTCTGAAAAAATGGCAGGATGTAACGAATGCAGGAGCGTTTCGGAGAAAGACGTAATTCGTCAGCACGATGTGTAATGAGAAGCGCAAGATACAATCTTCCCGTTATCTTCTTAATTAGATTCATTTGGTAATCTCCGTGAACTTCTACAATGTTTGACAAATGACATAAAGGATTCTTATTAGAAGATTCTTACATTGTCTATTTGATCGTAATAGATAACATTTTTAATTAAGCAACGTTTCTCTCGTGAATATGGTTAGTGAAAAAGTATTTATCTTATATGATAAAAAGGAAGAGAAGTTTGTTAAATAATTTCATTAAAAAAATCTACATTGAGTACGGCCAATAAATTAATTCTTTAGATATAGCAAAAATCTTATGAGAATCAATAAAGAGAAGTATTTACATAATCAAATTAATAACTTTTAAAATATTAAAGATAAAAATATTTTTAAATAAATAAATTAATTTAATAATCGCATGATATTAGATGCTTCATTTTAAATTATTATATTGCGTTACATCATAATATATAAATAATTGCGCCTGAAATATTTTCAAAGAAAACATTACACGAAAACTTGAAATTTCTCTTTGCCACATTGTATCTTTAACTTTCTTTATCTTTTAAATTTTTTAAATTTTATCCGATAAGTTCCGTACATAAATTTGATGACTTATATAATAAATTTTCAAACTTGGAAATTCATAAAAGTCTCAAACCAGAAGTAACTTGGCAATAAAAGAGCGTTATACATATTGATATATAATACACATAAAAAAGATATATGCCATATTAGAATCCTGAATATCTTCACTTGTAACAAAAAAATTTGAAAATACAAAAATATTGTCTCCTTGATAGTTTAAATAAAGATAATTTAAATAATTAACTATATTATACATAGTTGTAGCTCGTAATGTACACTTAAACACATTTATCTTAATGTTGTTTATCCCGACCAATACACATAAATCAATATACTACGTATAAACTACGTGTCTTGCTCTACAAAAATTATATAATACTAGGCACAGATCGATCAAAATTTTCAGTAGACTGACGGCAAGGCGAATAGCTGTAAATAGATTGAGAGAGTTCTGTCCGCTTTGCGCGAGCAACGTGCTCTGCCGAGCGTCGGGCAACGCCACAGATCCTCAAATATACATGGATAGACTTCGTATCGGATTTCCCTAGCGAGCAGGAAAAGCGGCTCCGTCGACGGCACTTCTCCTCGCGCGAATAAGAAGTTCCTTTGGCGATGCATCCTATACACATCCCCGTTTGTCCCCGAAGCTGCGACATGAGCTTGGCAAAAGGCAGACACCAAAGCTTCGCACTACTCGATACAGGTCTCCGACAAATCCGCGCGCGGATATAGAAATCTCCTGAATTGTAAATTATACAGGTATCACCGCGAGGAAAGCGCAATTCTCATATGAGAGACTTTCACATAAGAGTTTCACGATTGAATGATTTAATCCTTTCGACACATTCAATTCCGTGTATGCAAAGTAGTCTGGATTATGGGACATTTGTTACAGTCATTTTCAATTCCTCCAGGGAAATCCAAGACAAGTGAATCGTATCTTGAGGGAATTCTTTGCAGTTAGTTCACTTACTAAAATTCCTTTCCTCATCACGGATCATAGAAATTACAAAGCAATTGCCGATGTACTTCGAATTTAAAAAAAAAGAAAGAAATATGTAAATGTCACTGAATAATTATATTAAGAAATATATGTATATTATTTTTTTAGGAAATTTCGTAATCTATGTTTTAACTTTGTATATAATATAGATTTATTGTACTATACACAATGTTGTAATAACAACTTAATACAATAACACTTGTATTATACATAATTATTTTATTTTCAATTATTGTCAATTATTTTATATAAATATAATGAAAGTTCATATATTATTTGTTTTTACGTAAATAATAAAATGCGTTCTGTACAGATATTTTTCAGTCGCTCTGGTAAGAAATTTATCATTTGTCATGTCAATTTATCATGTATTTATCACCTTTTTTTCCAAAAAAGCAGAAAAATGAATATTCTATCGACACGGGAGTCTTAAATCATTAACTTTACAGGACTCTACAGGAATAAAGCGCGACGCTTAGCGGTCATCGATATCGTTGCGGATGTTATGTATCCCTTAGCCCTATAGAAAGCGATTTGCCATCTCGTCATCTCTTCCCTTCGCAACCCTGTGACTCTATCTCTTTCTGATTTCTTTCCCTTCCTTACACTCGCCTTGTCTCTGTCTAGTTACTAGATTCCTATGGGATTCCGGAAACCTTGCCATTCGCAAATCTCTTTCCTTGCCCCGACGGAGCAAGAAATGCAACTCTCCTTGGGGAATTAATTGCGCCGTAAAACGTGGATTCAAATCCGCGCTTCAAAGGAGAGAAGAGGCAAGATACGAGAGAAGAAGATAACAACATCGTTTTCCTTTCTTCCGCCGTCCGAAAGATTTTCCCAAGATGGTTCTCTCATCTCGACTGCAATCAGTGTCGTAAATTGCTTGCAATCGGCCCTGCAATTAATTCCGGCTCATCCTTGAGGATTTATTATTCTCAATAATAGTATAATATTCTTATGTGACCAGACAGTCTAGACTGTGACAGTTATAATGTTTCTTTTTGTTCTGAGAAAGACACATATCATGCATTTTTACGCACATCATGTATCTTTAATTTGGAAATTCAAAAACTAAATTATAATTTAAAAACCAGAAGTTTAAGTATATCAGTGGATCCCGAACAGTTAAATCTATGTTTATTTATATTTATTCACAAGCCATATATTTTATTGATATAACATTACAAATAATAATATATAATTTGCCTCTTCCTTTTTTCATTCTTAAAATAATACAAATAATAAAAATAATAAAATTGTTTTTTTTGGAAGAGACAAAAAGCTGAATAATTTCAATATTTATATATATATATATTTTAAAAATACGTTTTTGTTAGAAAATCAATTCACGTAATTAAGATAGTATAAAAGCTTAGTTTAAAATAACATAAAATTAAAGAAAAATTAAAGAAAAAAGGATATTTATTCCAATTTCATATAAATTATTATTTGTATAAAATTATTTGGGGATATTTAAATTAATTTAAAATATTAATAAAACATTAAGGATTTGTTTAAAAAACAAAAAATTTTAATTATAATAAAATATCAATGTTACATTGCAAACCAATCTGTGATAATATAAACTTTATAAAACAAGCAAGAGAAGTTTAAATATATATCTCAATAGAATTTTGTTTTCTATAAGTTTATAGAATCTTGTTTCCTAATTTTATGCCAAATGGGTAAATAATTTAAAATTTTGATATCATCTTGATAATATCTTCTATCTTATGTTCTATTTTTTCTTATCAATAAAAATAGTTATATATACATATACATATTTTTACACACACACACACACACACACACACACACATTATATATGTATACAATACATGTATAGATTTACAATGTTATGTCAGAAAAATTTCAAAAGAAAGTACAAAATAGTAGTATTTAAAAGATTTTTCTTTATCAAATATGTAGATTTTTTTTCATATTATTAATATAAATATTATTAATTAATATAAACGATAATAAAATACCATAATCAAAGATTTTTGTAAAAGTAACAAAAACTGCTATAATTGTTTTTGTGTATCTGATACATACACAAAAACAATATTATAGCAGTCAGTATTTTTGACCTCTTTTTCCTTTTACACGATTAGTATTTTTATTAACAATTAATTATTAAATATTAATTATCATTAATAGTACAATCTATAATGACATTTATATAATAATCTACAATTAGTTAAAAGTTCCAACTCTTAAATCTTATCTTAACACATCGTTAAAAATAGTGATCGAAATAAAAAGAATACAATCATAAATTATTTTTACATTATTTGGAAATATAAATACATGCTGAATAATCTGCATAATGCAAATTGTTTTAAATATTTTTTGTATTGTCGACATACATATTTATGAAAATGAGTAATATGCTCGTATAAAATGTAGATATTTTTTTAAAGAATCATTAAAGTAAAATATACTTTACTTTTGTCATAAAACAATAAATAATGTACCAAGATGATAACTTTTTTGCATCTTACATATTAGCATATCAAGGATTTGATTACATACTTAACAATAGTAAAAGCTATATAAGACTGGCAGTTATACTTCATCGGATTATTTGTTAAATCATTGTTCAAACAGAATAATGCTATATATTCTTAGTGCGTTCAGTATTGTGACGTTTGGTTTATGTGCAGCGGAAGAACTGACGCTTCGTAAGATATTTTTTTAAAATTCTTTATATTTTCAAGATACAATTATTTCAAACCCAAGTATAAATTATAAGTGTAACAATAGTTATAATAATGTTAAATAAAATAAAATAATTAGAAGAATATCCTCGTTATACATGTCATCATCATAACATGCATATATTTAACAAATATTTATTTTGATATTTAAATTATTTCTATAAAGTTATTCATGTATCTTTATATTTCTGTTATTATACTACTATTTTATTCCATTTCTATATTTCTTTAGCTGTGATCTCATGCAAGTGAAATTCAACTGACTATTCTACCTGCTTAAAATAAGCAGTCCAAGAAACATGGCCACGATTTCTTAAAGGTAATCCATTTAAAAATAACTGAATTTATATTATTTAAATTTATATCTTATTAACAGAGTTTGTCATTTCGTATACACAACTATTTTACGCATTAATAGAGATAAAAAAATATTTTTATAATAATAATTAAATAAAATGTAGGCAAAAGAAAAGTAAACTTCGATAATTATAGGGAAGAAGAGGGTACTTTATTACTCTTTATTAACTTTATTACTCGGTTGTCGAGTACAGAGTGTGTGTCGGCACTGGGCCTCGCACGGATTTTTCCCACTATTTCGTCGCGTGATCCTCGTGTGATCGTAGCGTGGCTTCGTCGCTTTACGAATGTTCTTGCGATTTCCCGAAATTCGACTACAAAAATAATAAATAATTCTTATATATTGATTAAAATTGTAATCAAATAATTTAGAAAATAGAAAAAGATTAATTCTAATATTAATTTATTTACTTTTGTAGGACTTCCAGAATTCGACTTTCGAAGAGGCATGGAATTTGTTGCAAAGAAATCAGAAAGGGAAAGTTACGCATCAAAAACGTATGCAGAATTGTCAAATCTTTGCGTCAAAAAATTCCTTCCAAGCTTCTTAAAATATTCATGATAAATATAAATGTTAAAAAGAACCGCTTCACACGTCTTCATTATATAATTGCTCTAAATATTTTGCAGTACATAACTGACCGAACTAAATTATCTTCTTTTCGAGCATAATTAATAATCTATAATTCAACAAAGATTTTGCAGTTTTTCTCATAAGTATCTAGTCCTCTGAAAATATCTAATTGATTAAAGATCTACATACACGCGTGCGCGAACACGCACGCACAAATATAAAGTAATAAAGTGTGTATGCGCGCGCGCGCGCGCGCGCGTGTGTGTGTGTGTGTACATTATATGTATGTATATATGTATATATGTATTTGTACATATGTAGGTATGTATGTCTGTATGTATGTATGTATATTCAATATTTTAAACCAAAATAATGTGTGTGTGCGTGTTTGTAATGCAATATCAGAAAACTTTAAAAGAAAATATAAAATAGTAACATTCAAAAGACTTTTGTTTATCAAATGCAGATTTCTTTCATATCATTAATCAGAAATTATACATGTAGCAAAAATTAATACTTAATACGTATGTAAAAAAACAACAATATTGTGACAATCAACATCTTTGACCTCTTTTTTATTCTTTTTACGACATTTTTATTAGCGTTTAATAACTATTAATAATACAATCTATAATGATAATTATTTAATAATTTATAATTAATTAAAAACTTTAACTCTTAAATTTGATATTAACATATTTAACTGTTAAAAATAGTAATATAAATAGGAAAAACACAATATATAATCATAAATTATTTTTATATTAATTGGAAATATAAATATACGTTAAATAATTTGCATAATGCAAATCGTTTTAGATTTTGTTTTGTAAATATACATTTCTATGAAATTAGTGATATGCTCACATTAAATGCTGGTACTTTCATAAAAAATTATTAAAGTGAAACACATTTTTTGTCATAAAACAATAAATAATGTAACACACAAAAACTGACTCATTTGTGTGTACTACGTATCAACATATCAAGGATATTATTACGTACTTAACAAAAGCTATATAAGACTGACACTTAAACTCCATCGGGCTATTTGTTAAATCATTGCACAAACAGAATGATGCTATATATTCTTAGCGCGTTCAGTGTTGTAATATTTGGTTTATGTTCAACGGAGGAACTTACGCTTCGTAAGTTATTTTTTAAAAGTTCTTTACATTTTTGAAAATCAAATATTTCATAGGCAAGTTAAAACCATAAGTGTAACAATAATTATAATAATATTAAATGAAACAAAACAATTAGAGGAAGGTTCTTGTTGTACATGCTGTCATCATACATACACATAATTAACAAATACTTATTTTTTTATATTTATATCATTCCTAATAACTAAAGTAACTAAAAAGTGTATTTTAATATTTCTATTATTATACTATTATTTTATTGCATTTCTGTTTTTCTTCAGCTGTAATTTCATGTAAGCAAAATTCAATTAATTATTTTACTTGCTTAAGACATGCAGTCCAAGAAGCATGGCCACAATTTCTTAAAGGTAATTCATTTAAAAATAATTGAACTTTTATTATTTAAATTTATGTTTTTATTTAATTTATTTAATTTACACATCATTTTAATTATATTTTTATTTAATTCATATCTTATTATCTTATTATCGATGTTTGTTATCTTAAACACAACTATTTTACGCATTATTGAGACAAATAATTACATAAAATAATAATAATATAATAAATAAACTTTTATATATTAATTAAAATTGTAATTGAATAATTTAAAAAATAGAAAATGATTAATTCATTTATCTTGATAGGGCTACCAGAATTCGACTTTCCAAGATTAGATCCATTATTTTATGAACATGGACGAATTTTGTATGACAAAGACGACGTACATGTAGAAGTATTTGCTTCAAATGTTAGTACCATCGGTTTGTCAAATATTCGTTTCATGGATGTAAGATCGTACATTTTCAATAATAGCATTCGTTTGGAAATTGATGGACAAGTATCGAAAATGTTATTTAAAGGTTATGTAAAAACACGAGGAAGTCTAAGCATACTCAAAATAGACGGAAATGGTAAATAAAATTTACGTTAAATCGAATATATTCTATACTATGAAATTTCTTCTTTATAATTACAAAGAATAATTATATACAATATTCTTCAATAAACAAAAGAAAAAATCTGGTGTAATAATAAAATCTATTTTATTACAATTATTATTCATCAATTAACACAATGTAAAATACTAATGTAAAAATAAAATAATGTAAAATTGTACACATACAGAAATCTGTGTATATGTGAATGTATGTATTACAAAATAAATATAAATACACACATTCTCATATATATAATATCCCATACAAATGTTCTTTTAACATAAAATTAATAATTATACTATAAATTATATTATAAAAATAGTAATAGTGTTTACGGTTTTCTTCCCATTTCATACTTCACAATTCTTAAGAAATAATTTATGACTTTTAAATAATATTATAATTACTACCAATTAATAATTTTTAATATTATACCTATTGTATCAATATTTTAATTTCTGTGTTACAGGATACTTCAATATAATTGCAAACGATGTCAGAATGACATGGATTATAAACGGACATGTGGTAAATGATACATTGATTATAGATTGTTTCCACACCGCACCTTCAGTTGCAAAAGTACAACTTGCCTTACACGACTTTTTCGATGGCAATAAAGAGTTTAGTAAGTATTAAATAAATTCAAACATAATATTTTATTATTTCCTCTTCATTGATTTATAAACTAAATTATTTAAATAAAAATGTTTATCTAATTTAATATTCAAATATTTAATTATTATTATTATACAGAAAACGTTTAAAGATGAGAAAGATGATTGAGTGAAAGGTGATTGAGTTATCGCGAATTCCTTTTATATTTATTTAGAAATAACTATTTAAGATTCGTGATCAAAGTTAATTGTATAAAAAAATTGTATAAAAAGGATAAAAAGGTA